CTTGTCTACCTATCAGTGACTATATCTACAGTCAGCAGGAGGATACATTACAGGGAAAGTCCACAGCATAATTAGGAAACAATCAACAAAGTTTCTTATGTTGATTTTTTCTTCACTTTAAATTGCTTCATTGACTTTAATTAAACTAGCCCTAGGCTTATGAATCTAGCAAGCTGCTGAAACACTTAAAAATAAAATAAAATAAAATCATTTTTCTTGGCAGTAGGGCTTTTAGCCCTTCACTTGTACCAAACTCAGCCTGTTCACCTGTACCAAACTTCTGATTTAGAGGCTTTTTAAATGATTAGAAATGTTGCATGTGATACTGCAAGACTCCTTGTTGTTTTTGCTCTTGAATTAAAATGACCTATTGACACAGCAAGGATCACAGAATGATATTGTTGCGATTCTCTCCACTTCTGTAGTGTTATGGCAGAATTTCTTTGCTGATTTCTGAGAAGGGTTGCCTTTCCCAACTTCTATACCAGCCCTGCTCCTATTTTGCCAAAGAAAGAGAACATGGTACATTTAGAGTACTAGCAATTTACATACCAACAGCTCAGCCCAAGATCACATAAACATGGCTTTGGAGGAGTAAAATAAATTTTATGTGTCCTGCTCCAACCTGGGCCTGCCACATTAAAATATAATCAAAAGTTGTACGAATGAGACTGAATGGACTAAGTACAGAACATAATCATCAGTGGAAGGAGAACAAACTGGCTTGTCTGTTTTATCTATTTGATATGGGAATATTTATTCTTAAAAATTGCTTCAGCTTTCCCCACTCCAAACAGATATGAGCTAATCAATTACTTATTAAGAGTATGCCAGAGTATTATCTTTTCATTTACACATACAGAGCTAGGAGACAGACATAGACGTAAAGGACAGCTGGATCTACTTTTCCTCCTGCTGTGCTGAAGTTGCAATATCCTAGACTAGTTTAGGTTGAGCAGAGATTAGCTGGGGAAAGCCAAAATAATCTCACTTACTGCAAGAGGTAATTGCTTACAAATACTGTTTATGTCTCATCTGTACTGTAGATCTCTGCCATAGTGTCTTGTGCTCCTACCTTTTTTCCTGATTTCCCTTCGCACTTTAAATTATTTTAGTTGTGTTTCCTAATCACTTCTATTCAAATGTTTACAAGGTGATTTGACAGATATAGAAAATATTGGGTGTTATGGAAAATTTAGGGTCCTGACTCTATCAAACATGCTCCACCCTCGAGTCATGTAGTTTCATTAGATAGTAACTCTCATTTTATTATGATATTAAATAAAATCAGTTTGGTTAGAGATGGGCCTAAGTATTCTCAAAACACTGAGAAAGATGAGGTCTGGGTGAATGTGTTACAATTTCATCTATCGCAGTTGTTTTGTGTTGCTGAGACACATATGCTCCATTTTCTCTCAGGAATTTCTTAGCAATAAGTGAGAAGAGTTCAAAATCCTTACTTCTATGTCCAGAAATGCTTCTCAAGAAAAATACGTTTTGTAAAAATTCTAAACTCTGCTAAAAAATTATAGTGCAGCAAATATTTGTATTTCTTTTCTTTCTCTGAGCAGTAGCATGGAGTGGCTTATGCATTCATTTGAGGCTTGAGAGAACTGAATTCAATTCTTGAACCAATTATTCATTCCTGTTTTTTTTCCTGCACACATCCACAAAACCAGGGATTGCTGCACTTGAAGCTTTGCTGAAACATCTTCCCCAAAGTCAGAAAGATTTTTTTTTTTGACATGGGGATCAGCCCTATATATCTGTAAATAGGATCAATATGGTAATCGCTATTAGTTGTGTCTTGCACATGCACATCACCCATTTAATGCTGATTAAAAGTGAAGAGTTTTCCAAACTAACTGGCAGATATATTACACAGAGCAGGTAGTTTAAAGTAAGTTTCAGCTTCTACTCATGTCAACTCAAGCTGTGTTATTACACAGCAGTATTACACCATAGTTTATGAAGTTTTTCCTTCATCAAAAAAAAAAAATATCTGGGAACTTTACATTAACTTCAGTAGATGCCAGAACAGGCCCTAGGGCAGGAAATGAAGAAATATACTGTACCCAAATGAAACTGCAGTGGGAATTTAGGTAGGCAGAATGTAATTATTCACACTGGAATGTGGCTAGAGCTCTGGGTTAATATCCCCGCTCCAGCAAGAATATCGTGAGATACATAATTACCCAGGGTAGCAGGGCCACGGGCTCACCTCTCACTCAAAAGACAAGACAAAAAGGAGAATGATCTGCTGGGACTTTGATTTGATGTTGAGTAAAAGAAAAGAGTGACATTTACTGCACCTGCGACACTTGCCAAGAAACAAGATGTATTAAGTAAATAATCACCTTTTTGGGACCTCCATCTTGAAACCAGTCATTTCTTGTGAAATAAAGAGGGGTTTTGAAAAATGAGAAACTTGGCTCCTTGCTGGTGAAATACAAGCAAACATTTACCACTTCAATATCCGTGCAAGTCCTAAATGCATGGTTTTCCTCATTGTGTGAGCAGCTGTAGGGAACAATCTCCGGAAATTTGTACCTCTGCAACATGCTAATACTTATATTTTTATATTCATTGATATAGATGAGGACACCAAGAAGCACTGAAAAAATAATGGTTTCTCTTGCACTGAATGGTAAGGTAACAAAAACTTTCAAATCTTGTAATAGAATTGCATTACATTCCAGCAAAGTGGTCCATTTCTGAGGTAGAACATGACAGCTTTTTAACTTGCTCCAACAATATGTGACAGGAAGAATACTACATTCAGTGGATACCGTAGGGCGATTTATCGAGGCAGAATGTAATAATATAAATTGAGTTTCAGAAAAGACACTGTGACTAATCTTACAAAAAAATGCTATGGATTGTTTAATAATCCTGGTAGGTAAAAAGTTGTTCTTTAAAAAAAAAAAAAAAAACAACCTCTCTTTTAAGACTGATTGCCATTAAAGTATGCCCTGCGTTTGGTTCATTCTTCATTTAACCATATAGTCTAAAACTGCTGTCAGGTGCAAACACTTGCGTTGTAACCGGATACCCGCAGTAACGGAAGTGAGTTACCAATTTGTGACCAAAACTGCAGAATAACACTAAATTTACGGCAGTATCACACTGAATCTATGGCAGTAGGTGCCTCTCAGAGAGGCACCAAGCCAGTGTCCATCCCCACCTCTCTAGTGATCCTCACTACTTCTCACTGGTGTCTGTGGTGCTCCATTAAACTGGGACAAAGGGGAATCAGGCTTCACCCCCAAACCTCCTTGCTTGACCTTGTGCTCTTACCTTGCCCTGGGCTTTACCACAGTCACTGCCTCCTTGCACGTTTCCGGCCATGGCCCTCAAGCGCTAACTGTGGGGACCAAAGTGAGCAGAGGAGAGAGGAGAGCAGCCCGTAGCGGGCTGGAGGGCTTGGCCCCCATCCCTTCAGAAAGGGGTGGCGAGTCTTTCCTTTCCTCACCTGCACGCTGGCTTCAAGCGCTGGTTGGGAAGCGCGGCACTTCCCTTCAGGGCCTCCTCGCAGCTCCGCAACGTGGCGGCCAGTCACACGCATCCCGAGCGCCGTGCTGAAACGACACCGTGTCCCATGGAGGTGGGCCAAGGAGCAGAGGCTGCTCCAGGCTGCGGCCTCCTGCCAGCGCTGCCATCCCCACGGAGCAGCCAGGGCTCCCCGTCCTGGCACCAGCACTGAGGAGATGGTGGCCAGGCCAGGGTGCAGGGGGCCAGGGCAGCGGCTACCCTCAGGGCCCCAACATAAAGAACAAAAACCCACAGAGGGAGAGAGAGGAATCTTCCTTCCTTTTAGTCTCACCTGGTCTGCATTTGGTTACGATTGCACGTTCGTTAAGATTCAAAATCTCAGCCATGGTTTTCGGTGCTGATTTTAGATTCAGATGCTTTTCAGCTCATTGTTAGCAGGAACAAATGAAAAAATAATATTTGTGCTTTTCACAAAGTGTCTAGATGGGCTGCCGCCTGTCTGCATGCTATCCATTCCCTGGCTACCCCAAAACCCAATGTTTTTGTAGCTCTGGAAAAGCTGCTCCACCCAAAGGTTTGGCCGACACTACCATTTTCATCTGGGGCTTTGGGCTCCCTGTAATACCAAAAAATTTTGCTAACAAATCCACCAAATCCATGAGTTCTTTAAAGATTTTTTTTTTTTTTGGAAAGTAAATAAGTGTTTAATGTATACAGTGTGTCAGGTGTGGTCCTGGTGTCTTTGTTGCGGTGTGCAGCCTTTCCCACCACAGGAAGCAGCATGTGGCAGAGACCACCCTGAAACTATTTTTTTTCACTGTATTTTACATTACCTCTCTGTTAAGTTTAGTGGTAGCCTTCAACTCCATAAGGTAAAATTCCTAGATACTTAATACCCTGTGGTTTTCAATCTATATTTAAACCTTGTCTTATGCACTGATTGCACAATATGTTCAGGGACATAAACTCCAACTTACCTCAGTTTATTTGCCATTCAGTTTTGCTTGCAAAACTCTCAGCTAGCTTCCACATATTTTTCTTTTAATGTTCTAAGAGCTGAAATAAAAAGGGCATTTATCCTCCATGATACTTATTAGAGGTAAATAAACAATGCATAAGAAATAACTTAGAAAACTATTTTGTTTGCTAAATATTATCATGAGTTCTGTGAATTTACTCAACATCCTGTGGTTGCTGCATTTTCACTCCTCGCTTTTGAAGCTCTGTACTTCAAGTGCTCAAAGGGCATTAGTCCACCTATGAGGGCAGCTTAGATGAACATGCCTGAGCACATTCACAGAAAGTGATTTTTAATATTTTTTGACTGTGAAATGCGATCATGTAACTATTGGTATTAATGCCTATCATGGTTTTAACAATAACCATATTTGCAGTGGCTCCTCAGTTAGTTGTAACAACACTCAGAAGTAGCAATACAGTGGAAAATTTGAAGCTACGCAACCTCATCAGTGCACTGCTATGTCTAATTAATTACCAGTGTCAAGTTGTGCTCCAACAGGCAGCACTGTAGGATTGCTCCTCAGACAGTCCTGAGCTGAAATTATAGAAAAGTTATAGATGTCTTTGAAAAATCTTTCTCAGAACTACCTTTTCTTACTTAAAGGTATGTATCGTTAAGCAATAGGACCAGAAATAGAATTGGCATTCAATAAAACCAATTTAAAAAGGAATACATTATATATCTTAAATCTCTATGCACAGAGCTACTACTACTAATGCAAATGAGAAAAGGAGACCAGAAGGCGGCCATTAGTTGATTTGTTAATGCATATAAGTGTCAGCAGGTGTGGTCAACTGGAAAGAGGCAGGTGTTACCAATGTATTGTTGCTGTCATAAAAAATGATATCCTACAGAAGCCTTAAGAGTAAAGTCAAAACTGAAAGGTTGTTGAAATCCTGTATCAGCCTGCACCTTATAAGTATTCCATGTTTGATTTAAGGCTGGAAATATGCCAGGAAAAAATAAACTTACTACTTAAACATGGATATTGAAATAATTGAACTTAATTCTGTCATCTGCACATTTAGATTTCTGTATTCCATGAAGATGCCCTCCTTCAGGGAGGCATCTGATCTTATTTCCCTGAGATTCACTTGTGGCTTCAGCTAAACGTAGCACCACCACATATCTGTCTAGCTAGGATATTTCTTCATGTCTATTTACATGATATAATCCAAAGAAGGATTAAGATCATTTTAAAAATGAAGATTAAAATGTCTTTATTTTGAGATCGTATAATTTAATGAGAAAAAAAACATACAATATGAAGAATAAAAGAGAGGAAAACACTTATAAAACTGGCAGCCTAAAGAAAGAAAAAGCCTGAGAAAAAAAGACTGCTACTTTTATAGCAAAATACTTAATCCAATTAGTTTCTAATTGAGTTACATAAAAAAAAATCTTTTTTAAACATTTTCCTGAATGTACATTATTGCTTGTGAAAGCAGGGGATTAATACTACTTGTGATAGCAAAGCAGAGTGTAGATTGGCACAGAGGAAATTCTTCCTTAGAACAAGGCTATTTTCCTCTACTTCAGTCCTGGTCTGCAAAAGCCCTTTACCACTCCGCACAAAAGTTAAAGGTAGACAAGACTCATGAGATTTCCTAATTCCAGGCCACTGGTATCAACATCAGTTCAGTCCACACAGTGACACTTTTCATAGTTCATTGTGCACTCTGAGTCTTTCTAGCGAGGAAGGTTATTTTAGTTCTCAAAAAAGTCTGTTCTACCATCTAATTAGATAGCTCCTAAGAAAATAACTTTTCTCTATATTAAGCCTGTTAAAAAATCCACTTTGTTACTTCTAATCGCAGATTCTTTTAATAGTCCTGGATGGCGACAGCCAGTTCTAGTGAGCTGTCCCAAAAGAAGTAGTAGTTTCATTATCCAGATCACCCAGATTTACATATCTGACCTTTTCTAAATTCAAAATAAATTCTGCAAAGCAGAAGAGCTATAGCATTAACTCAATTTGCCCATGTGGTAGAGAGACCAGTAGTCTCTCGAGAAGGTAGAACATTAAAGCCAAAGTACAATGTGTGAAATTGATGCTGGTGCAGAATACCGTGTAGATTTGTGATGGCCAGATCCCAAATAACTTCTGTTTTAGGGCTATTGTTATTTGATTGGACACAACTTGCTTGGTCTTCACACATATACATTTCATCCAAAAGGTCTAAAGAAAAAGAACGGCCCCTCTAGAAGTTGGCTGATGTGCCAACAAAAGTGTCTCCTGAGCTGTTATCCAAGCTGAAACATGCCTCCATGGAGTGAGCAAAGACTAGGATCATCCGTGTGCGGGTTGCTTTCTTTGAGCCCCATCTCCATTCCACATTTGCTCACAGCTATTGTCTCCAGAGTTGCTGAGTGACTAACACTCATTGAAATCAAGTGACAACTTGTTGAGGAAAATATTCTGAAACCGTGAGGGCATCAGCATTTTCTGTGTTGGACTAAATTATTCAATTTTAATTAAAAAAATAGTATGAGTGGTTATTATAAAAGCAGGCAATTAACAAAATCTACTGAACAAAACATTTCCATTACCAAGGAAATTGCACTATTTGAAGAAAGCAGTTACAGATGAGCAAAGAAAGGTACTTTGTAACAGAGAGATTTTCAAAATTTGCCTTTTTTTTCTACTAGAAATAAAAAAAGTGAGCAACTAGGTGAAGGTTTTATGAAGAAGAGTACCAAAGTGCAGATCAGACATGCTTTAAATAATCAATTTATCCTTAGAAATGGGAAGATACTATTGAGATTGGAGCTATTTGGGAGGAGGAGCCCTCATCTCTCATTTATCTCACATTCTAGTACAAAACAGTTAAAATAATAATGCTGATAAAAAAACCCACAACTTTGCAGATGCTCCATTAGCTCCTACATGTGGGCCAGGCCCATTCAGGAAGAATTAAAATTACCTGAATTGTCTGTTAAAGTCTAACACTGTGTTGTGCACGATATGAAAACTAGTGCCTTTGGTGAGGGCATTTTTTGCCAGTACAGTTTCTCTAACTTCAAAAGATCTATGTCATTATAAACCTACACATGATTTTTAAAGCTTGATTCTTGACCACGTGGGCACTAAAATCAGGATTACAGTACAGGATTGTACTATAATGTACAGACATATATATGAAGAAAAGAATCCTACTCTGGCTGCCGTGCTGATATCAATGAAGCAAAAAGTGTATGGCAGAACTGAAGGTTTTGTGCTAGAGAACAGATAAGTGACATGGATTGAAATTATGGTAAATTTAAATTGATGGCCTAATTAGTATTATCTCTTTTTTGTATTCTTTGTAAGAAATATTATCCAGGAGGAACTCATTTTGCATTAATGTTGATATAAAGTGTAATTCTGTAGCATTTTCATTGTAATCTGGCATTAATTAATGCATCATTATTCTAAAGTGTTAATTAAATTATTACAAAAAGGGACATCTGCCCCAGTTCAGAAAGAAAAAAAAAAAAAACATAGTGCATGAAAATTAGACTTTTGAAGGTTTGATGTGGTATATGAGGTCCCACAATACTTGTAGAAGCACAAAAACAAAACACAAAGACATGATGAGCCAGCTCATGCTCTGATAAAACGAAATCTGCATTTGCTCACTCGTGATGGAGTTTTACAACAGCATCCAAACCTCAAAACTAGGCAGGACATCAAAAATCTGAAATAGGAATTTTTTATTACGGCAAAAGAAATACATTGCACAGCAGCAATGAGGAATTTCTCACAAGCAATCCAGGGAACTAAACCAGGACAGTGACATCTTTGAAGCTCCTGCAGACTCTATAAAATCCTCCCCTCAGCATTCAGGCAGGAACTGCAGCTACATATAAGCAATCGGTGGGAGTGGTAGGGCACTATCCGGATTCACGTCACACAACCCAACACACTCAGTGGTGATTTTCTTCACCTTCTGCCTACAGTCCTAACTGGCTTCCCCAAAGTTAGTTGCTGTTCTTGTTAGTCTCACCTGGACAGCAGCTTTCTTCAGACGCAGACAGGAGTAAACCCAATCCTCTACCCAAGACCTTGCGCCCACCCTGACGCCCAGCCCCATCTCCAGGCGTCCCCCCGCCGGCACCAGGGAAGGGGCGCGCGGGCCGCAGCCACAGCAGGCCCAGGGCGGCCCCCAGGGGCTCAGGGGCTCTCTGCAAGGGGCCACCTGGGCTCCATGGACCTGGGGTCTCAGTCAATTATTACACACAATGAATAATTCAAGCAAACACTAGCCCAGAGCCTGAAGCAAATTCTCTGTGATGTGGCCCACCTGCCAGCTAGATGCCAGTGCCAGCGTTGCACAAGGTGCTTCCAGGATGTGGCTTCCATAAGATTCAATGTCTACACTGTTCAACAACCCTGCCTGTTTCAACAACTATAATTTTCTTTTGTTACATTTGGGCTTGCATTGAAAGATCTTTAAAATGTAAAAGTTAAATGAGGCTCTTATAAAGAAGTGGTTTGGGTGCAGTATATTATGAAAACTTCAAAGGAGCTCAAGATACCTTTCAAGCTAAGGTACAAAAATTTAAACAAGAACAAAAGCCTTTCTTGTATTTTGAAGCATTAATTGTTCCACTTCTGTTGATGTAAAGTGAAAGGAGAAGCTTTTAGTTAAAAGCATGTAGTATCTTCCAACATGGAACATTCCAAAGTCTCATGGAATAATTTTAGCTTTGATATAATGGCACAGGTGAATCCCAAATTACAATGCCTTCTGCAGCATATGCAATAATTGTTGGTAACTGAATCCCTTCCATAAACATTAGCGCTTGAAGAGATTTATTGGCATAAGTTAGACTTTCACCTTTTATATTTATAACATATTTCATATTTATATTTCATGACTTTGTCAACACTGTTTGCAACAGAAATCTACAAATTAACTTTAAGAGGCTTTATCTATCATTTTATCCTGTTTTTCAAAGGGTAAAGAGTTGGTGACATTGCACTGTCTGATCATTTGTCAATATGTCTTTTAGGTCCCCTCCTTTAAGGGGCAATATTGTGGAAACTACAAGAATACAAAGTTCACAGTAAGTTTCATGAAAACAAGACCCTGGCTAGCTAGCACAGAAGGAAATTAGGGTTTCCCTGGAAGAAAGAAAAATATATATATATTGCAATGGTGAATTCAACAGTTAGGTCGTCTGTTGGCCTATCAGCTGGCCAGGCAGCACGAGGGTAGCTCAGTGCCAACCACAATACGTTAGCTTGCCCATTTGTAATTAGTCAAGGATACTGTGGAGGGATTTATGAGACTGAGGAAGTAATTAGAAATCCCATATGTGAGCACATCATGGAATACATTCAGAGAGGAACATTGGGTACTTTTGCTGCAGAGGTGTAGGAAATTAAGATACAACGTGCAAAAGCTCTAAATTTATCGGTGCTGTTGCTCATGAACAACATTTTATGGCAGAATCTGAGCACATCTGTTGACCTACTCATTAGACAAGGCACAAATGCCATGCCTGCTACCTTCTGCATTAGAAATACCTAAATAATGATTTAAATCTCTAACACATCTAACACTGGCACCATGTCAGATGACTGTGACAGGAAATGAATACGTGTTGCTTGTCAGCTCTGCTTTGTGTCACAGCAAGACTATTCCTCCTTTACACAGCAGCTAGGTAAAGTGAGACACAGAAGGATTAATTAGTTTTCATTGACTTCCATATGGTTTGTGTACACTAAGAATTTTTGAAAATGGGATCCACTGTCCTTCCCTCAAGACTTGCAATTACTGGAATAATATGTGCATGCGAGTTAGAGGTTCTGCAAGCTGCATTTCAGTACTTCTTTCTCTATTACCCTGTATGTGAACTCGGTGTGTGAAAGTCATGAGAAAATGTGCTTGACAAATCCATGAGAATCAGTCATAACTATAAAAGAGAAAGTACCATAAGCCAACAAATATAAATAAATAAATGTAAATAAACTTCCAGTCCTTCCTCTTTCCAGCCACTGGGCACAAATCTTCTAGTTCCCAGAATGGAGCTGCACGATTGTCCATTTTTAATTTGAGTTGATAATACTACAGAATTGGTACAGCAACATCTAAAGTTTGTTGCTGAGCTCAAGACCATTAACTTACAGCATTATCATGAACCTTACTGCCTTGAATGCTGCTTATTTTTACAGTGAATAGTGGTAAAAATGCAGGCTTTACGGCATATAGATAAATTATTTTACTATTCAGCTTTTCCTGCCAGATGTTTAAGTGGCTAGCCAAACCTCCAGAGATATATAAGCTTGATCTACATGTATGCAAAAATTAATTGAAAAAGTGACCTAATATTGTTTTATTCTTTAACAAAATGACAGGATATTTTCATTATTTGCTGAGTACTTACAGATAATAACAAATTAAGTGTTGATCAATCAATATAATGATCCATTTGACCCAGAAATAATAACAAGAGAAGATATGCAGAATTTCTAATAAAATTACAATCCCAACAGAATTTGAATTCATTACTTTTGATATATAAGGCAGTCAGTTCCCCTCACTAACATGGATTTGAACTTGTAGAAGGTAAATTATCAAAGCGGCCCTTGTTGCTCTCACGCTGCAATACAATTTTATTATGGATTATAGGGAAAACATAATAAACACTGCAGAGTTCGGAGTCCTGAGGTACAGCATGATGTAGATCTTGGTGTAGACTTGGGAACATGCCCCGACTAGGGTGCGTATTCCTTCAGTTCACATACTACTGATTTGGGCAAGATTAAAAACTCAGCTTGTGTCACACATACCTGTGAGAAGCCTCAGAACCTGCCACGTGGTCTGTATTTGTCAGCAACCTGTGCACCAGGAGCAAGTTCCTTCCATGCGTGTTCAGGGCTAAGGAACAAGTTAAGGAAGCTTCTTAATGCCATGATTTACTCCAAGGAGGAGTTAGTTTTTCTGTATGGTGAACTACCTAATGCAAACTTACCAAACAGCAGTCTCAGTTGCTACCAGGATAATCATTATCCAAATCAGACTCGATGCTTTGAATTCACATACTTCCCAAGCACTCACTGCTGCAGGTCAGAGATAAAGCTCTCCTTTTGACCTCTTTGCCAGTCTCTCCTTCTTTCAAGAAGGCACAAATCTTCTAGTTCCTGCAATGGAGGTAGACGATTTTCCACTTTTAGATTGAGTTGATAAGGCTACAGAAATGCCTGATTATAATCCATGTTAATCCCAGCAGGGCCTGCCAGGTTTATCATCTGTTACAGACCAGTATAGGGTAATATACAGATCCTGGAACTAAATTTAAATGAGCACTGTTACATTCTGGAGGAAATCCAGGCATTCCAGCACAAAGCTCCACGCTGCTGTGGCTATATTGCTTTCTGCAGTGTACTGCAGTTCAAATGTAACCAACCATTCTCTCTATGACCATCATGAAATTGCAGCACATGGTATCCAGGCAGAGAACAGGAATTATCTATACAAATATCACAGCAGAAAGAAAAGGGCTAGAAATAGCCGAAGACTAAATACATATTCTATGTATAATTTCAAGAGGGTATACAGTTAAACTTAGATTTCCTTCTTCTCATGTTTTTGTTTTTCTCTAATTTCTTTCAAGTTCTTAACTTGAAAGTGTCTCCCTGCAATTCCAGCCAAATTCCGATCTCATGATGAACCAGTCCCAAACTTAAGAGGAGGTAAACTTCCCAAAACCATGAACTTTTGCTGTTATTGAGACTGTAAAAAACTGTTACCTGAGAGTATTCTTCACATCTAAGGCCAGATGGCTCATTTACTCTGGGATAGCACTTTGGTAGCCATATAACAACACAGAAATAGGTGCCACTCACAAAAATACTACAGTATTGTAATATCCAGACTTCTCAAACACACAAAAAAGAGGAGCAGATACAAATTCAGGTAAATTTGCTAAAGTAAAAAAAAAAGAAAAAAAAAAAAAAAGACTGTTCAAGATAATCTCCTTTTCAAAGGGATTTTTCTACTTTTAAGCAAAAGAACTCAAACTGGAAAACTTCCACTAAACATTAGTGGAAGAGAACTGCAAATATACCGTTACCTAGTCTGCAATTGTTTATTCTGATCAATTGAAAGTCAAGGACTTAGGATTTTTTCTTCAATCTTCAAATCTAGTTTTTTGAGAGTTCTTGAAAATACAGGGGATTATAAAATCTGTCTTTTCCCCTGCTCTTCTGCTGTGTCCTTGTTCTCGTCCAAAAAATGGCCACCATCTCTTTTGGCCCCTGTGAATTATATGCCCAGGCTAGGTGAGGTGAATACCAACAGCAGTTGATGAATAAGTGAGTATTATGGGTCTGGGTGTGGGTGCTGGAGATGGCAAATATACTTCAGAAGAGCAGCTGCCAGAAGTAAGCATACAAAATATGTCTCCTACACAAAAGAATGGATTTTCAGAGAATCTGGTGGAAAGCCCGACAAGTACATTTTGTTGCTGCTAAAAGAATTTATTTCTGCTGAAACCTATAACTCCTGGGTTAATAAAGTGAACTTTGATGGGACTAGAGGGAAATATGGGCTTCCCAGGAAAGTTAGGACAAACCTAGATGCATTTCTAGAACACAGATTTATGGAAGTGATTGAAGCTGATAAGATCAACCCCAAGTTAACACTTTCCTTTGCCTTCCTATCACACGCTAAATAGACCTCTGCCACAGCTGGCCTGCTACCAATAAAACTAATGATGCCTGTAAACAATAAATTCCATAGAATCATCAAGCTCACACAATTAGTATCTATTCATGTTGTTTTGCTTTGACGTTTGAGGGATTTTACAGGACCTATTATTATGATAAGCTTAACTGACTATGGCAATAGCCAATGGCTTGTCAGGTTTGACTGGTAAATCACAAGGCTAATGGAAAAAAAGACATAGAGAATCTGAGTTAGTCTAATCAGGTCTGTCCATTGAAGTCATTACCTTGATAAGAGTCTCCACAAACAGTAACAATGAGGGATCTTGAAAAGGCTGACTCTGCTCCTAGTCCTAAAAGAATATGCACATACCCAGAATACATTTATAACGCTCAAATGCTAAAAGAGGTGCATTCTTTACTCTATTCCTTCTGGCTCATATCACCGTCATTAGTGCACTATCTAAATATATGCAAAGCAATAAGCATTTGTCATGTTCTTGTTAGAAGGATAGTCAATAGACTGCAGGAAACTTGAAAACAACGAAAAACAAGAGTTTAGCAGAGGTGATAGCCATGTTAGAAAAGAATTATCTGTCTCCATTGGGATGGCAAACCCTTCAATATGCATCAAATCATACATTGCCTTCTCAAGGCTCCAACGTACAGCTACATGGCCTTGCTCTTGACACGCGAACAGAGGAGCCCATTCTGAAAGAAAAAACAAAACCCCAGTGTTCACTAGGGATGTGGAAGTTATACACATAAATATATACAGCTGTACGATAGGAGACAACTACATTTTAGTCATGTGATGGGCATATATCCTTTCATTCCTCAGGGAGGGAAATGACAGCTCTAAGGAAAAGAGCCCGCCATGAGCTGAATGAATTGCTCTGATGAGAGAGATGCAGCCTGTGGGCTTGAGGTCAAGCAAAACAAGACAGGTCTAGGGCTACCATGTTCTCTATTTCTCATAGATGAAGAGCACAGATTAGTTTATGAAATTTAGGCAGCACAACAAAATTATCACTACCTCAGTGCTTTGTAATTTGAATATTGAAATGCCTACATCTTTTTAAATTTGTCTCTCGTTTCAGGCATAAGATCACAGCTTGCTTTATTTTCTTTCTCCTAAAATTCTCCTTTTCCATAGGAAGCGTTCAAGTCCAATGCTAATTTAATGGCACTGCTTCTTAACAATTAGGCTAGTCCAGGCTTCTATTTCAGTATTTTATTGTATTTTCTCACTTAAGTTGGTGCTATCAGCAGGTAGATTATTCAGATATTGGAAAGGTAGACAATGTTACTATACATAGATCTAAAGCAATAAATAGGGAAGAAAATAGGTTCTCTTGTTTAATGTGTATATACATTCATGAGAGTGTGCTTATGTGCATGAGTATTTATCAACTGACTCATGGACTCAGATACATTAATGCTTCCAAAATACCCATTGCAAAAGATATTTTTCATCTTTCTAGTTCATTCATTCTATTCTCAATATAAATCAAACATCAGAGGCATGATTAGACAAAAATCTTTCAAACATGTTTCAAAATTAATTGACTCGGATGTCTGAAAATGAATGCTACATCTGAACACTACACACTGCTTTATTTCCTGAGGACTTGCTTTCTGAGGCTCTTGTCAGAAATTGGAACAATCTTGCAAAAAAAAAAAAAAAAAAAAAAAAAAAAAACCTACAGTGATTCAGATACTATATAATTACTGTATTTTAGATTGCATCTAGAAACAAAATCTTCATTTTAGGATAAACTGCAAAGCTGAATATCTCCAGCTAACAATTAAATACCCATGAACAAAAGAATACCAGTGTTTTTTCATAAGCAAAAATCTCTAACCAATGAATATTTCTTAGTCTCTGAACTACTTCAGTCTATAGAAACATCACATTTCCAAAATACAGCACTGAAAAGAGACAATTCAAAATTGATTCTGTGTAATTTGAAATTTACCATGAGCATTTAATAAAAAATTTGGAATTATTTTTATTTTGTAATAAGTATATTATAGTCCTCTGTGGATTCTTAGCTCTGAACTGAAACAGACCATGTAACTTTATTACTGGGGAGGACTGGCTTTCACAAAGCCCTATCTGCTCTACAAGTTTTGTTGAGACAGGCTTTAAAAAATGATAAATCAGGGAGATATAATCTCTCGGAATTAAATCATCACACCTACTAGCTTTCTAACGTCCTCTCTATGAGCAGTGTTGAAAAATGTGCGCGCTTCTACCCTGAAGAAAACATGCTTTGCTAAATAACTTTACTCAGTTTGAACAATACCCTACTTAAATGTTTCCTTCTCTGCTAAACCGTATTTACATAGCTGTCCAAAAGAACTCTCAAATACAGAAAAGTACATGATACTGAATTCTATTATTAACAGGAAAAATTTAAGAAATAATATACTCAAAATTACAAGCATATAATTTCTTCAAAAGCCATATTTGGAAAAAAATCTTTATGATTTTATAAAATGTATTTATTCACAATTTAATTGATACTACTAGGGGGCATAACTGAATATATAGAAGATACAGAACAAATTTCTGTCTTGCTCTACTTTTCCCAAATTACCAGTTACACAAAAATGGATGAGTAGAACCTCAGTTTTATAAATTAATTCCATTCAAAGCATTTTCTAAACCAACTGTACTGAAAATTTCTATGAATCGAGCATCTTGGGCCTTAAATCAACAACACATCTAATTCATGTTATAAACCAGTCTGTGTAAGTAGCTGTATTTCAGATCTGCGTTAAATCTTACATATTTAGAACTACAATATGGTAGTGACACAGAAAAATCTTGTTTATTGAGATACAAAGTAGAATCTAAGAAACTCATATCACAGTGGAAAGCAATCTAAATTGCTTTCACAGAATTTCTACTACTTTCAAGTAATAAAAATGTTACACTCTACTCTCTAAATAAAATCTTAGTTGCTATCGACAGTTAGTATGAGATTCAGTCAGAACTACCAAGCTGTGAAAATAAGGCCCAACTTCTGTTGTTTTTGTTGATACATTTGGCATCCAATCATGAAAAACAATGTCCATGTCACTAAAATGGCCTCCAGGCATTCAGTATATCTACATCGAGGTTAAACATCTATGTGAAGATGTGACAGCACACCTTATAAAAGATATTATTGAGTAATATAGACTTTCTGTAATAACCAAACAGTAAAGAATATAGCTTTTTAAAGGTCTCCCCATGGCTGATCTCATGACTCAAAGATGAGAGACTGTGCTGCAAGCTAAGTAATAAAATCTGGTGGATACTGTGGGCTAGCTTGTGACAAATCATATCAAAGTATTATTAAAGAAGGAACTTGAGACCCAAGACTATTATTGATTCTTGACAGAATTTCTTATAAATAAATGTTGCAATCTGATCCTGGACTCCCAAGGCCCTGGTAGAAGTCTGACTATTATGGGGCAG